GTCCAACAGAGTCAGTTTCCTTAACAACTTGTGGTAAAACATATGTGTATCACTCGTCAAATATAGCAGGAATGAAGAAGAGCAGCTGATTTGAAAAAACAAACGCAAGAGACGGCGGAGTGACCGCAGTGCAGAATCGCTGTATAGTTTAAATCTCCTAACAATGTTGTCCATTTTAGACAGAGGCTTATTATATTTACAGCCTTAATAACATTCATTTTCTGGGCTCAATCTGTGTCTTGGCCGTTTTCGTTGTGATCGCTAAATCCCCCTTGTTTATAATAATCACCGTTCCTTCAGTAGGATACTGCAGTGATTCAAAGTGTGATTTTAGCAAACGAGTGCTTTTGTTTTGAAATCACTTCCGTGACTTTGGCCCCGCCCCTCGCTCCAAGAACCATGAGACCATTTAGTAAGGTAAAAAGCAAAAAGCAAAAACGCCTCTCAGACGCTCTTCCGTTTACGTGTTTAATAAAGAAAAACAATTGGACGGTAGATACACGGATTTATTACATTATCAACTAATTATGTTTCCCACATTCTTTAAGTCTCACATTTACTGTGATGGAATATGGTGTCATTGAGTCCTGATCTACAACATTCTACATTCACCTATATTATTTGACATTGACAGATTTAAATGATGTTATTATCTCTACACTCAGTTATTCCAGATGTCCTGCCAGGTTGTCATCATGCCCTGCTCTATTAGTGATTATACTTCAGACATCCAAAAACAATTTATAATATATTGTTAGCATTGTTGTCCACTCACCTCTTTTCTGTTATTTCAATATTTACATTAGGTTTTGGAAATGTCTAAGGGTATGATCTAATGTGTACCTTTTCCCGAGCCTATTTATTACGTTTAAAGCCCTTCTCTCCACATGGAATCATTAGCTTACTCCATCAACCACATATATAAATACAAGAAAGCCCTTTACCTAAAAACATTTGCATTCATGCACACACTCGATTCAATTCAGACATTTACAGGTTTGTTATAAAGGCATCAGGGAAGCCTTCATGTAATCTCTAGAAATACTATGAAATGCTTTCTTTGTTGACCAGTTTGAATGGCTTGTACTAGATTGCGTTGGGTAATATAGTATCTGATTGTTTATGAATGATATCATATTTCTTGATTTAGGTTATCATTTTCAGTTTTTAAAAGACCAAGTTCTTCAACCATTTTATATTTTATCTTAATCTGAAAAAACAATATACTTTAATGTATCAAGTCTTTTTTGGTTTATTTCATTATTTAGATTTTAATACAAAAACATGTTTCTCTTCTGTTCTCAAAAACTATGCTCAAAGGGTGATTTGTTTTGCGCATGCTCAGTACCCAACCAATCCCGTGCGAGCAACAGCACAGTCTCATTTGCATCGCATGAATATAAATAGACCACGCTGTCTCTCGGTGAATACGTTCTACTTTGAGAACCCTCAACCTTTGATCATGCCTGAAGCAGCCAGTGTGAAAGCGCCCAAGAAGGGCTCCAAGAAGGCGGTCACCAAGACCCCCAGCAAGACCGGCAAGAAGAGGAGGAAGTCCAGGAAGGAGAGCTACGCCATCTACGTGTACAAAGTGATGAAGCAGGTGCACCCCGACACCGGCATCTCCTCCAAGGCCATGGGCATCATGAACTGCTTCGTGAGCGACATCTTTGAGCGCATCGCCGGGGAGGCCTCCCGTCTGGCTCACTACAACAAGCGCTCCACCATCACCTCCAGGGAGATCCAGACCGCCGTCCGCCTGCTGCTGCCCGGAGAGCTGGCCAAGCACGCCGTGTCTGAGGGCACCAAGGCCGTGACCAAGTACACGAGCTCCAAGTAACCTGTTGCCGCTGCTGCTACAAACCAACGGCTCTTTTAAGAGCCACCCACTTCATCTACTGCTGCTGTCCTCTTTCAAAGTGTCCCGATATACGTCAACATATTTGCCTTTTTAATATAACTAAAACAATACATGGTACAAGTTAACACCATTTCTTTATGAAAAGCTGGTATTTAAATTATGTATTGGTGGCAATGACATTAAACTGCTATACTCACTTGGATCATCTTCCTGTGATCTTTATTTAACTATTTACATGTTAATTTTACTTCTTCAGCAGTCATTTTAAACTGAGCTCTGTAATTGTTGTATTACAATTAATTTCTGTTTATCTACATCACTTCCACCTGGAGGTTTAATGCTTAACAAATAAAGCTATATTGTATCTTAAGTGCTGCAAATATAATAATGTATGTACAGTGTATGTATACGAATGAGAATAGGTTGTATTACCGAGTAGGTTAACACATACAGGGTATTTGCTTTGGTATATTTGGTGCATACAAATACACAGGATGAAGAATACCTAGCAAAATAATCAAAATAAAATAGAACTATATACATTTTGAGAAGACATACGTTATAGACCTTTATGAATACACATAATCATAATATGAAATAAGAGATGTCCTCAAAATATTAAAGATAACAAAAGTAGACATCACACAAATTACAATCTACACAAATAAGTTAAAACTGATGATCATTTTGTTTCCGTTAAATGTTTAGCCCACGTTACAGCTGCATGTATTTAGGTGGGTGTGTCATTTGAGTTATAATACGGAATATATTATTTCATAAGTTAATTACACACTGTAAATAAACATTAAGTATGACACCTTTATGAATGTCTTAATGTTCTCCACACATTGAGACTTTCGCTTCTTAAATTACAGGAGTTTATATTCATCTTTGAACGGGTGAAAACTATTTCAGAAAATACAAATTTAAACTTTAACGTCTCATTCTGAAAATAATTCAGGCGGCAGACAGACCTGTTTTCTGATTGGACGATCACAGTTACGGGTCAATCTGACCAATGAGCGTACAGCTGCGCTCCTATATAGTCTGGTGAGAACTGAGACCGAGTTACTTTCTTCTTAACGTCGAAGAATAAACACATAGAAAATGTCTGGTCGCGGAAAAGGTGCAGGAAAGGTTAGAGCGAAGGCAAAGACTCGCTCCTCCCGGGCCGGGCTCCAGTTCCCCGTCGGCCGTGTCCACAGGCATCTGAGGAAGGGTAACTACGCCCATCGTGTCGGTGCCGGAGCCCCGGTGTACCTTGCCGCTGTGCTGGAGTACCTGACCGCTGAGATCCTGGAGCTGGCTGGAAACGCCGCCCGGGACAACAAGAAGTCCCGCATCATCCCCCGCCATCTGCAGCTCGCCGTCCGCAACGACGAGGAGCTGAACAAGCTGCTGGGAGGAGTGACCATCGCTCAGGGAGGCGTGCTGCCCAACATCCAGGCTGTGCTGCTGCCCAAGAAGACCGAGAAGCCCGCCAAGAAGTGAACACCCTGAACCCGCTTCTACCAACACCCCAAAGGCTCTTTTAAGAGCCACCCACTTCCAACTAAAGAACATTCCTCTCTTCACTACACAACTACTTAAAGGCCCAGAGCAGTGATCTCCCCCTTGCTCTATATGTATTGAGTACAACATATAAAACGAGTCATATATTACACCAAGTCACTGAAACTAAAAACACCCATATTCTATAGCAATACACACTTAAAACTTAACTCTAAATTACTCTTAATGTATGTATCTGTATTTCGGGGTGTAGCCTCTAAAGTAAAGCCTTATTTCAACTAAAGCAAACTCCTCTTCACAATGTCCTTCGTACATCCAGCAGGTTAATCACCACATTCTCAAATGAATAGCGCTTTGGTTTCTACATCTGTCAGAAACCAGCCCGAGTGAGCTAGAAATTGAAAATCTGCATCTGGAGTCCAATGAGGTGCTTTCAGTACATTGACTCCAGGTCTTTGAAGATCTGGAAAGATTCACCAAAAACCAAATAAACAGCAATGTTCAGATCAATTACTTATGTTTTAAATAAAGCTGAATGTATTCTAGTATTAATATCACTCTATAACCATAATACTTTTCATAGTCTATCTGTTAATTGTGGCTGTCTTTTCAAACTAAAATGTTCCTGACTTCCTCTACAGTGGACATACTGTAACATTTAAAAATACAATTACATTAAAAAAGTCTAAATTGCAAGATGTTTTTCTTTTAACCCTAAATAGGTAGGAAATCAAAAATAAGGAAGATTGGAAAACATTTGTTTCCTGGGTTCCCAGGAGGATAAAGCCCCTTTTGCTGGATGTCACGTAGTTTCCTCTATTCAATAAGGCTTCTGTATTAATGTTGCTGAATTCTACTTCACCCAAGTAGCATTCAGTACGATCCTCTGTATACCTGAGCCACGCAGTACGCCATGCTATATTTCCATTGTGAATGATGCAAGCCAGTCAGCAGTGAATATCAGGACCAAGTAAGATGTTCATGTATTGAATTGATGTGTATTTCCAAGATGCATTCAAGTCATTTCTTCATCTTTCGTTGCCAAAAAAAGTTATAATCAAACTAATACTCAAATTTCACACCAGCTGTGACTGAAAGTGTATTTGATTCAGGTCATCGCTTTGCTTATAAATAGCTGACTCCATAGTAGGAAACTCAGATAACATATACTTTATGTTCTTCATTTAAAGACATTATTTTGTTATTAGAGAATCAGAAACCATAACGGGTTTGTTGCTAAGTAACACATACTTAGAATGTGTCTTGGTGTTTTATTCGCATACATAATAAAAACGATTTTAAGAATGCTAAAATAACATTATAAATATAGCAATATGTACATCAACATATGTATGCATTACAATATGCAGAATTCAGAGTTTATGAATGTATAGAATAATTTGTGCATCATTCATCTTTGCTGGACTTTTGTATCATAGACAAAGTGTTAAAAAAGCTGTATGTCACACATGGATGTATAATAAGAACAGTTTAACAAATGAGCGCGAAATTTGAATTTTCCAATCTCTACCAACCAATAGTTGAGCTGCAGTGTCACGTGTATACATTTGACCAATCAGCGTCGTTGTCGTGCCTGCTCTGGCTATATAAGAGACACAGACAAGTCTTCCACGTTACTACTTTCCAACAGAGAAGCAGACTCTCTCTAGCCATGGCAAGAACCAAGCAGACCGCCCGTAAATCCACCGGAGGAAAGGCTCCCAGGAAGCAGCTGGCCACCAAGGCTGCTCGTAAGAGCGCCCCGGCCACCGGCGGCGTGAAGAAGCCCCATCGTTACAGGCCCGGTACCGTGGCTCTGAGGGAGATCCGCCGCTACCAGAAGTCCACCGAGCTGCTGATCCGCAAGCTGCCCTTCCAGCGCCTGGTGAGGGAGATCGCTCAGGACTTCAAGACCGACCTGCGCTTCCAGAGCTCCGCCGTCATGGCTCTGCAGGAGTCCAGCGAGGCCTACCTGGTCGGCCTGTTCGAGGACACCAACCTGTGCGCCATCCACGCCAAGAGGGTCACCATCATGCCCAAGGACATCCAGCTGGCCCGCCGCATCCGCGGAGAGAGGGCTTAGACTGACCTGAGACCAGAACACCGAAACACAACGGCTCTTTTAAGAGCCACACACACACACTTACAGAGCAACCAGTCCTGAAACACATGTGTGCAAATACTTTATAAACACATTGTCCCCCTTTCATTATTAAAGCATGGTCCACAGTAACACATTATGATAAGATAGTATATAATGCTGATCCATATTGCAACTATCACTGGGTTGTAATGCAGGCTCTCATTTATGGCTAGACTCCGACATCTAGTGGTGTTTTTAGATAAAGCTCATTCCAACACAACGTAACTGAATACATAATGTTGTTCTTTAAACATGTTCATATAATTACTAGTCCTGAGATATATGTCTATGGGCCATTCTACCGAAATGTACCAAAGTCAGGCTGGAAATGTTTTGAAATTGTGTGTTTTTTCCCCAAAACTTTGTCCATATATATTTTGTTCCATATCTAAATTACACACATCGTAAAATAACTACATTTTTATATCGTATGTTCAGACTGTTGGAATCTTCTTCCTCTACCAAAAATGGTCACTACGGAAACATTTTAGTTGATAACTCAATATACTTGATATATACTCATGTATTTGTATTCTGCATACTCTTAAAATAAAGCATTATCTTCTGACTGTTTATCACATATTCTCAAGGTCACGATGAATGACCAGCAGTTTCACCACAATACATTGTTTTTATTCAGAAATGTTAAAATAACATTAGAAATAAGAGACATTGCAGGACGAGAAGATGTATACTTTTCTGTATTTAGCCGACACATAACCTGAAAACCTTTTAAAATAACTTCATCTATGTATGTTTTAGTTTTTTGCCTTTAAATACTTCTCACATGAATCTTGTGACGCACCAACTTGAACACACCCGTAATTGGGTGGTCCGGGTCTTGAAACAGAGCCTCCTCCAGGCTTGATGCCTGAGTCCAAATCAATATCACCACAATAAACAATATCTGATTCTGTTTGTGTCCATCTTATCTGTATAGACTCTTTCCTTTACTTGGTCACTTATAACAATCAGCATTATTGAGATTATTGTATTCATTATTATTTATGTTTTATTATTATAATTATTCATGTATACAGTTTACTTCATCTCACATTTGTCTAGCAACATAGAAACACTATGTTATTCTAATCCATTCTACTGTTTCTTTTTGCACTATTTTAATTGTGTTTTTTTTAATCAGTCTTATTCTTGTTTGTCCTAAATATGTTTCATTGTTGGAGGAGCCTGGGATTTCAGATTGTCATGCCATGTGTACACTGTAGCTCCTGTGCATATGGCAATAAAGCCTTTGAATGTTGAATCTGCCGCCCCCACTGGTCCTTTCCCACATGGCTTACTCTGCTCTTTACAGCTCTTTGCACTTATAGTTCAATGGGACTGTATTTTGTTGTCTCAGTTGAACCGGAAAATAACTCGTTGTTTCAAATGACATGTTATGAAGCGTCTAAAAGATAACATTAACACAAATTAAACATTACATCTAAACAGTTTGCAATGCTTTCTCATATATTCCTTATATATTTGATGTGATCTGTGGCATTCCTTGTCCCTTGTAGCTTTCATGTGAGCATGTTGCAACACCCATTTTGAACATTAAACAAATAATATATTTGTTGTTGGGTTTAGCTTCCACAGTATGTACTTCTCTAAGTTCAGAGATTGCTCTCTTTTTTCCTGGTGCTCCCAATGTGGGAATACATTTTAGATTCAGGTCTCCTCCTACAGTACATATGTAGTATGGATATGTAGAAGAACAATTGCAAAGTTGACCCTCTTTCTCAAATGTATACATGCAAAGAATTGAGGGACAGAAGATCCCCAAAAATGATGCTACACAATACAACCAGATGCAGTACAACATCCTGGTATTCTTTGCCTTCTGCAGGTAAAACACCATGTCATTTTCTGCCATAATAAAGGCTAGTACTGATGCATGCCTTCTTCATCAAGTATTTAAAGTATATAAAGAAGTTAGATTCAGGCTTCAATTGTATACCTCATATAAATCAAATCAGGTTTTATTTATAAAGCACATTTAATAGTGATTTTTGGTCGAGCCAAAGTGCTGTACATGTAATAAAAACACATTACTACAATCACAATAAAAGACAATAAATTACAACAGATATAAAAAACACAGGGAAAAGTCAGGAGTCGTGCTCCGCTCTGACTAGAAGGCCAGGGAGAAGAAGTGTGTTTTAAGAGTAGATTTAAAAACCCCCAGGGTCTGGGCCGACCTCACATGGAGGGACAGAGTGTTCCAGAGCCTGGGGCCAGCTGCTGCGAAGGCTCAGTGCCCTAGGGGTTTGAGCCTGGTCTTAGGCACTACCAGCAGCAGCTGGTCAGCCGACCTTAAGGCTCTGCCTGGGGTGTAGCGCTGGAGGAGTTCGGCTACATTGGCCGGGCCAGCCCATGTAGGGCTTTGAAAACAAATAAAAGGAGTTTAAAATCTATTCTGAACCGAACTGGAAGCCAGTGCAGTGAGGTCAGAATTGGGGTGATATGGTCACGCTTTGTATGGCCAGTGAGAAGACGTTCAGCTGCTTTCTGCACTAGCTGCATGCGTCTAATTGAGGCCTGGTCCATACCCACATACAGAGCGTTGCAGTAATCCAGTCTCGAGGTAACAAAGGCGTTAATAACCCTTTCTAGGTCTTTAAAAGATACAAACGACTTGGTTTTGGCCAATAGTCGTATTTAAAAAAAGCAGGTCTTAACTACGGTGCTGACCTGCTTATGAAATTTAAAAGCACTATTGAAGGTCACTCCAAGGTTCATGACAGAGGGGAGGACGTTTTTATTGAGGGAGCCCAGAATATCAACCGGAGAGGCTGGAGGTCGGGGTCCAAAAAAGATGACCTCAGTCTTGCTCTCGTTGAGGGTGAGGACGTTTTTTCTGTGATGCCTGCGGACTGTTCAAGCCGTGACAACAGGATGCTATGGTCCACAGTGTCGAAGGCAGCTGTCAGGTCTAACAGCACCAGGACAGCTGGGCTACCTGAGTCTGCGGCTAGGAGCAGATCATATAAGCAGGGTGACTAAGACGGGCTTCTTTCACCTAAGAAATATTAGCAAAGAACGCTCATTTTTAAACCGACCAGAGGCTGACAAGCTCATGCATGCATTCATAGCAAGTAAGTTGGACTAATGTAATGCACTCTTCGCTGGTCTTCCAGAAAACTCAATAGAAAAGCTTCAACTCATCCAGAACTCTGCCGCCAGGCTTTAAACAAAAGCCAGAGAAAGAGAGCACGTTCCTCCTGTTTTATCTGAACTTTAATTTCTTTTAATCTTAGGACATTCTTTGAGATTCTAATAATCCATTGAGATTTAACAGTCTAGTGTTAATGAATAATATCATTTCATAGCTAATTCCAAGCCTTTGTGCTGGTGTATGGTTCTAATTCCTTCACTTAAGCTTCTGTTTCTCTGATTTTCTACAATTACTAAAGTGATAATACTTGTCTGATGTTCACAGTCAGTGGGAGTTCTGCTACCAAGAGTTTGTGTCTGTTTGAGAGCCTTTGTGACCTTACAGGTTTAGATCTATCTGTCTAACACATTTCAGAATGTAAAAATATATGATAATACTCATACTATATAAATATAGTTGTATTGTGATGTACATGAGAAAAGCTGTGCTAAATGAAGGTCTCTCACTGTTGAGTAACAAAGACTTCATTTAGAACACAGCCAGGGCCTGTCCTGAAGGGAGTGTGTTTGCAGACAGCAGAATTACCTCTGTTTAACAAAAAAGTGTTGACAAATGTGGAATTCTTTCATATTGAGTCTTTAATCCAACATTTCATTTCACTATATTACAAGTTTTAGGGGGATTATAATGTATTTTAAATCCTTTAAGAGAGAGATTACAGAGAAAAGTCGCAGATTAGTCCTTCAGACAGCAGTAGTTTTAGGAGGTTTAAAGCCTTCCCAATGAAAACACAACAATATTTAAAGCTTTATTTGGCTTCTATATGAAGATGAAGTAATCCACTGTCAATTCGATTAACCTTTGAAATTCAACTCGTTCTCTAAATGTGTATTTTGTACAGTTTTAGCTGAAGAGAAAGCACAAAGTGGCACAGTTTTTCTGCAGCTCCTGTGTGAGCCACTGAGTTGAGTCTCTACGGTTCTCATGGTGAGTTTAAGTTCCTCTCTTCGCTGGGATTTCTCTCTCCGTCTCATCAGACCGAGAATCCTCCTGACAGCATCATGGCCACAGAAGAAGCTCCCACTGAAGTCTCCGCCGCCGCCGCCCCGGCAAAGGCACCAGCCAAGACCCCGAAGAAGAAGGCAGCCAAGCCGGCCAAGAAGGTTGGTCCCGGAGCCGCTGAGCTCATCTTGAACGCGGTCACCGCCTCCAAGGACCGTAAAGGGATCTCTTACATCGCGGTGAAGAAGGCGCTGGCCGCTCAGGGCTACGAACACACCGCTCACATTAAACGCGCCGTGAAGAGGTTACTCGAGAATGGAGCCCTGGTGCAGGTCAAGGGAACCGGAGCCAGCGGCTCCTTCAAGGCAGCCAAGGCCGCCGAGAAGCCCAAGAAGGTAGCGAAGAAGCCCGCAGCCAAAGCCAAGAAGCCGGCAGCAGCATCAGCGAAGAAACCCGCCGCTAAGAAGCCAGCTGCCAAGAAGGCAGTAACTCCCAAGAAGGTAGCGAAGAAGCCTGCTACTGCTGCCAAGAAAACCCCCGTGAAGCAGATCACTAAGAGCCCGAAGAAGAAGGTGGCGGCCAAGAAGGCAGCGACCCCCAAGAAGACAGTAACCCCCAAGAAGGCAGCGACCCCCAAGAAGGCAGCGACCCCCAAGAAGACAGTAACCCCCAAGAAGGCTGTGAAGAAGGCGGTTAAACCAGCTGCCAAAGCAGCGAAGAAGGCACCAGCCAGGAAATCATCGAGGAAGTAAACAGATCCTCTACTTCATCTCCAAAAGGCTCTTTTAAGAGCCACCCACATACACCGAAAGAGCACTCTCCTGTTTTAATATTTAATTTAGCATAAATACAAGTTTGTTAAAGTCTGCTGCATATGTATTTGAAAAACCAGAAGATGTTGTGGTTATTTATCATTATCGTATAAGTTAGTTAATTTTACAACACATTCTATTATGTTGCTATATTAGTAGACATTCACTTCACAGAAGGCTCCTCTGACAGTCACTCACAACATACATATTTTCCCATATACTTGATAGTGTATAAACCCTATGTAAATATTTTGTAGGCCTATATAACTTCATATAAATGTACATCGAAACTTATTTAATGCTACATATAATTGTGACTATTATTACACATTAATTCACTTTTACTTGAGGAGATCGGATTAGCTCCTGATTTTGATAATAAATACATTATTTTACTTTATTTTGTATGTTTAATAATTAGATTATATTGGATATACTTTAATGGTCACATTGGTCATTTGTTTTGTCACTTCAGCATGCCAAACTATCTTATAGTGTGCTTCACTTTGATCCTTTAAGTATACTTTATTTTAAAATATTTCTCTAAGAATACACTATATTGTTTGAGTCTATGTGTATAGGCAGATCTATTTTATAGTATATGTTATTCGATGATTTAATTATGTGAGGTCTTTTGTACTTGACACAGTGAATGGACTAACGCTTCTCTGATTGGTCGATGGTAGTACCACTCGACCTGACCAATCAGCGGCCAGATGTTCACTCTATAGACCACCACCAATCGATGAGGAAGTATTGTTTTCTGCTAACCTAAACAGAAAATGTCAGGAAGAGGCAAGACCGGAGGAAGAAAGTTTTTTTAATTATTGGACTTGATCAAAAGAAAGCCTTCCACTATTTATCCAGGGATTACTTATGGTCGGTGATGAAGGCCTACGGATTTCCTGAAGCCTTCATAAACATGATTAAGTGTCTGTATTTTAAATCTTATGTCTGTGTAAATGTAAACGTTGTGTTAACAAATGCATTCAATGTTGAGAGAGGGGTTAAGCAGCAGGGGTGCCCTCTAAGCGCAGCTCTGTACGTGCTAGCCATAAGTCCATTCATTAAAATAACAAACAATGACAGGTTCATATCAGGAACACCAGTTGGCCATGCGCCCAAAATAACTGCCATCGCCTGCAGACGATGTTACTGTTATAATAAAAACCAACAGGAAATGGATGTTCTAACAAACCACCTAAACCTATATGAATTGGCATCAGGAGCTAAATTAAACCACAGCTAAACTGAAGGTGTTTGGATCGGCACCGACGATGCCAAATGTGACATTAACATTCACGTGAAAAAAGAAATTAAAATACTTGGAATAACTATTTGTAGCGACAACTGTGCTGAACTCAATTGGGAGAAGAAACTAAGTGAAGTCAAAGAACAAGTTAAACACTGGGAGAATAAAAATACAAATTAGAAATCAAGAATAAACATAATAAAATCATTCATACTCAGCAAGATCCTTTTTCTAGCAAACATCTTCCCCCCACCAGCCCAAATAATGATGCAATTAAACAAACAGTGTGTCAATTTGGTGTGGGGTACAACAAGGGAGGTTGCTAAACGTAATGTGTTATTTAAGAGTAGGGAATATGGAGGCCTGGGAGCCATAGACCTGGGCGTTCAACTAAACATCACCTTTGTAAAAACATCTCTGCTGCAATCGATAGGAAAGCACCTTGGGTTGAGGATGGAGGAATGGGATGGAAGAAAAGAAGAGCTAGAAATGGACCACAAGTTACTTTATGGTGACTTCACAACTGAAGTTCAGCATTTAGAGATTGATTGGATCGGACTACCGAATAGAGTAATTTTTAAAATGATAATCGATTTCAAATATGGAGGTGTTATAGCGTACAAAAACCTAACACCTGACGAAGGTAACGAAGTCTTGAAATTAGTAAAAAGTAAACAGTTATCGGAGAGCATGAGAGACGTGAGGTGGCTGATATCAGTCAACAGACTTGCGGTCAGAGCTGTGGTCTCATGGAGCTGCTATGTGAAAACTAGAACATGCCCCATGATTAACTGTGAGGAGGACGAGACTCTCCAGCACCTCCTCATGGACTGCTACAGAGCTCAGGAGGTGTGGTCGCTCCTACGGGGCATCGGGTTAGACTTCAATGTAGAATATGTCTCAATCATGTATTGTATTCTGGATGAGGGGATGGACAATAAACACAGGGACCTTTTTCAGCTGGTAATTTGTATCACATGTATGAAGATCTGGAAGACAAGGTGCAACATGGTACTAAATCAGACGATCATAAACAGTGGCACCATCGTGAAACAAATACTTACTGAACTAAGGAGAAGAAAAACCCTGGACAAATCCCAGACTCAGCCATGGGGCGTTTTGAGTCTGTGACCGAGCTGAGTCTCACTGGAATATAAACGTGCTCTCTTTATGTTATTTATATACTTATTCATTGTGTTTTATGTGTTTTATTAATGTAACTTGTGTATATCATGTACTGACCAAATAATATAAAATAAAGTTTTCTAAAAATTTGGTATATTTGGTGCATACAAAGACACAGAATGAAGAATACCTAGCAAAATAATCAAAAATAACATAGATCTATATACATTTTGAGAAGACATATGTTATAGACCTTTATGAATACACATAATCATAATATGAAATAAGAGATGTCCTCAAAATATTAAAGATAACAAAAGTAGACATTACACAAATTACAATCTACACAAATAAGTTAAAACTGGTGATCATTTTGTTTCCGTTAAATGTTTAGCCCACGTTACAGCTGCATGTATTTAGGTGGGTGTGTCATTTGAGTTATAATACGGAATATATTATTTAATAAGTTAATTACACACTGTAAATAAACATTAAGTATGACACCTTTATGAATGTCTTAATGTTCTCCACACATTGAGACTTTCGCTTCTTAAATTACAGGAGTTTATATTCATCTTTGAACGGGTGAAAACTATTACAGAAAATACAAATTTAAACTTTAACGTCTCATTCTGAAAAGAATTCAGGCGGCAGACAGACCTGTTTTCTGATTGGACGATCACAGTTACGGGTCAATCTGACCAATGAGCGTACAGCTGCGCTCCTATATATACTCTGGTGAGAACTGTGACCGAGTTACTTTCTTCTTAACGTCGAAGAATAAACACATAGAAAATGTCTGGTCGCGGAAAAGGTGCAGGAAAGGTTAGAGCGAAGGCCAAGACTCGCTCCTCCCGGGCCGGGCTCCAGTTCCCCGTCGGCCGTGTCCACAGGCATCTGAGGAAGGGCAACTACGCCCATCGTGTCGGTGCCGGAGCCCCGGTGTACCTGGCCGCTGTGCTGGAGTACCTGACCGCTGAGATCCTGGAGCTGGCTGGAAACGCCGCCCGGGACAACAAGAAGTCCCGCATCATCCCCCGCCATCTGCAGCTCGCCGTCCGCAACGACGAGGAGCTGAACAAGCTGCTGGGAGGAGTGACCATCGCTCAGGGAGGCGTGCTGCCCAACATCCAGGCTGTGCTGCTGCCCAAGAAGACCGAGAAGCCCGCCAAGAAGTGAACACCCTGAACCCGCTTCTACCAACACCCCAAAGGCTCTTTTAAGAGCCACCCACTTCCAACTAAAGAACATTCCTCTCTTCAGTACACAACTACTTAAAGGCCCAGAGCAGTGATCTCCCCCCTAAATATAACCTTAAATTACAATTAATGATTACATCTGTATTTCGATTTGTAGCCTCTAAAGTAAAGTGCACTCCTCTTCACAATGTCCTTCGTACATCCAGCAGGTTAATCACCACATTCTCAAATAAATAGCGCTTTGGTTTCTACATCTGTCAGTCCACATAAATAAAGCCACAGCGTTTGTTGGACCCATCATTAATGTTGAACTCAGTTGACACTACACTCTATCAGTAGCTACTTGTTGGCAGGTGTCTGCAGTTCACCGATCAATAGCGTACCGTAACATTTAAGCTCTCGATCGTATCTTTTGCCCACACGCACTTTGAAGTGAAAACAGAACAGGTTGTTTTTAGTCCCAGCCTTTATCCACAGGTGTCAGTTCACCAACACATGTTTGGAGCAGGACGAAAATAGTGGCTCTATTGTAGTGGATTCAATATTAGCACGTGTGTCTTTCTAACAGTTCTTTATTTATTTGTTATTTTAAGAAATGAGGTATATCTAGGTACATATATTAATGAAGTTATCATCTCCAATGAGCAGTTCTTTAATGTGACCATTGTATATTATATCTATACCGTTAGGAGTTAGTTTAGTAGCTCTAAAACAAACATGGTACAAACTATTATCCAGCACTATTTCAACATTACATAAATCAGTAACATCTTAAATAATAGTGTTTAAACTAAACTGTATGTTATACACAGCCCACACACAGTTAGATGCAAGTGTTTATGTGCAAACCTCTTCTAAAGCGTGAATGCTAGCCATGTACTTGCTAGCATTCTTTAGTTATGCTCAATTTGAGCTGGAATCGTCACGACCGAAACATTTGGTTCAGTTTCGGTAATTGACATGATCGTTTCGGTAGTGACGACCTGGAAAGGTAAGCAGGTAAATCCCATAGTTCTGAAATAAATGTGTTTTAAAGTCTGAAAATCAGTGTGTTACTTTAAAGCTCTCCTATTGTACTATTTGTAGGCATGTATTATAGCACTCAGAAATATATAAAAAACATGTCTATGAAGTGTTTTGCTCAAAATACCAAAGAAACAGAAAAACCTTCATAACACACGGTGATAACCGGAGAAGCATGACATGGGACCTTTACGCAATAAGGTAATACTTTTTACTATAGTGTATGTACTATGTTTCCATAGTGACCATTTTTGGTAGAGGAAGAAGATTCCAACAGTCTGAAAATACGATATAAAAATGTAGTTATTTTACTAGATGTGTGTAATTTAGATATGGTACAAAATATATATGGACAAAGTTTTGGGGAAAAAACACACAATTTCAAAACATTTCCAACCTGACTTTGGTACATTTCGGTAGAATGGCCCATAGACATATATCTCAGGACTAGTAATTATATGAACATGTTTAAAGAACAACATGATGTATTCAGTTACGTTGTGTTGGAATGAGCTTTATCTAAAAACACCACTAGATGTCGGAGTCTAGCCATAAATGAGAGCCTGCATTACAACCCAGTGATAGTTGCAATATGGATCAGCATTATATACTATCTTATCATAATGTGTTACTGTGGACCATGCTTTAATAATGAAAGGGGGACAATGTGTTTATAAAGTATTTGCACACATGTGTTTCAGGACGGGTTGCTCTGTAAGTGTGTGTGTGTGGCTCTTAAAAGAGCCGTTGTGTTTCGGTGTTCTGGTCTCAGGTCAGTCTAAGCCCTCTCTCCGCGGATGCGGCGGGCCAGCTGGATGTCCTTGGGCATGATGGTGACCCTCTTGGCGTGGATGGCGCACAGGTTGGTGTCCTCGAACAGGCCGACCAGGTAGGCCTCGCTGGACTCCTGCAGAGCCATGACGGCGGAGCTCTGGAAGCGCAGGTCGGTCTTGAAGTCCTGAGCGATCTCCCTCACCAGGCGCTGGAAGGGCAGCTTGCGGATCAGCAGCTCGGTGGACTTCTGGTAGCGGCGGATCTCCCTCAGAGCCACGGTACCGGGCCTGTAACGATGGGGCTTCTTCACGCCGCCGGTGGCCGGGGCGCTCTTACGAGCAGCCTTGGTGGCCAGCTGCTTCCTGGGAGCCTTTCCTCCGGTGGATTTACGGGCGGTCTGCTTGGTTCTTGCCATGGCTAGAGAGAGTCTGCTTCTCTGTTGGAAAGTAGTAACGTGGAAGACTTGTCTGTGTCTCTTATATAGCCAGAGCAGGCACGGCAACGACGCTGATTGGTCAAATGTATACACGTGACACTGCAGCTCAACTATTGGTTGGTAGCGATTGGAAAATTCAAATTTCGCGCTCATTTGTTAAACTGTTCTTATTATACATCCATGTGTGACATACAGCTTTTTTAACACTTTGTCTATGATACAAAAGTCCAGCAAAGATGAATGATGCACAAATTATTCTATACATTCATAAACTCTGAATTCTGCATATTGTAATGCATACATATGTTGATGTACATATTGCTATATTTATAATGTTATTTTAGCATTCTTAAAATCGTTTTTATTATGTATGCGAATAAAACACCAAGACACATTCTAAGTATGTGTTACTTGGCAACAAACCCGTTATGGTTTCTGATTCTCTAATAACAAAATAATGTCTTTAAATGAAGAACATAAAGTATATGTTATCTGAGTTTCCTACTATGGAGTCAGCTATTTATAAGCAAAGCGATGACCTGAATCAAATACACTTTCAGTCACAGCTGGTGTGAAATTTGAGTATTAGTTTGATTATAACTTTGTTTGGCAACGAAAGATGAAGAAATGACTTGAATGCATCTTGGAAATACACATCAATTCAATACATGAACATCTTACTTGGTCCTGATATTCACTGCTGACTGGCTTGCATCATTCACAATGGAAATATAGCATGGCGTACTGCGTGGCTCAGGTATACAGAGGATCGTACTGAATGCTACTTGGGTGAAGTAGAATTCAGCAACATTAATACAGAAGCCTTATTGAATAGAGGAAACTACGTGACATCCAGCAAAAGGGGCTTTATCCTCCTGGGAACCCAGGAAACAAATGTTTTCCAATCTTCTTTATTTTTGATTTCCTACCTATTTAGGGTTAAAAGAAAAACATCTTGCAATTTAGACTTTTTTAATGTAATTGTATTTTTAAATGTTACAGTATGTCCACTGTAGAGGAAGTCAGGAACATTTTAGTTTGAAAAGACAGCCACAATTAACAGATAGACTATGAAAAGTATTATGGTTATAGAGTGATATTAATACTAGAATACATTCAGCTTTATTTAAAACATAAGTAATTGATCTGAACATTGCTGTTTATTTGGTTTTTGGTGAATCTTTCCAGATCTTCAAAGACCTGGAGTCAATGTACTGAAAGCACCTCATTGGACTCCAGATGCAGATTTTCAATTTCTAGCTCACTCGGGCTGGTTTCTGACAGATGTAGAAACCAAAGCGCTATTCATTTGAGAATGTGGTGATTAACCTGCTGGATGTACGAAGGACATTGTGAAGAGGAGTTTGCTTTAGTTGAAATAAGGCTTTACTTTAGAGGCTACACCCCCGAAATACAGATACATACATTAAGAGTAATTTAGAGTTAAGTTTTAAGTGTGTATTGCTATAGAATATGGGTGTTTTTAGTTTCAGTGACTTGGTGTAATATATGACTCGTTTTATATGTTGTACTCAATACATATAGAGCAAGGGGGAGATCACTGCTCTGGGCCTTTAAGTAGTTGTGTACTGGAGAGAGGAATGTTCTTTAGTTGGAGGTGGGTGGCTCTTAAAAGAGCCTTTGGGGTGTTGGTAGAAGCGGGTTCAGGGTGTTCACTTCTTGGCGGGCTTCTCGGTCTTCTTGGGCAGCAGCACAGCCTGGATGTTGGGCAGCACGCCTCCCTGAGCGATGGTCACTCCTCCCAGCAGCTTGTTCAGCTCCTCGTCGTTGCGGACGGCGAGCTGCAGATGGCGGGGGATGATGCGGGACTTCTTGTTGTCCCGGGCGGCGTTTCCAGCCAGCTCCAGGATCTCAGCGGTCAGGTACTCCAGCACAGCGGCCAGGTACACCGGGGCTCCGGCACCGACACGATGGGCGTAGTTACCCTTCCTCAGATGCCTGTGGACACGGCCGACGGGGAACTGGAGCCCGGCCCGGGAGGAGCGAGTCTTGGCCTTCGCTCTAACCTTTCCTGCACCTTTTCCGCGACCAGACATTTTCTATGTGTTTATTCTTCGACGTTAAGAAAAAAGTAACTTGGTCAAATTTCTCACCAGACTATATAGGAGCGCAGCTGTACGCTCATTGGTCAGATTGACCCGTAACTGTGATCGTCCAATCAGAAAACAGGTCTGTCTGCCGCCTGAATTATTTTCAGAATGAGACGTTAAAGTTTACATTTGTATTTTCTGAAATAGTTTTCACCCGTTCAAAGATGAATATAAACTCCTGTAATTTAAGAAGCGAAAGTCTCAATGTGTGGAGAACATTAAGACATTCATAAAGGTGTCATACTTAATGTTTATTTACAGTGTGTAATTAACTTATTAAATAATATATTCCGTATTATAACTCAAATGACACACCCACCTAAATACATGCAGCTGTAACGTGGGCTAAACATTTACCGGAAACAAAATGATCATCAGTTTTAACTTATTTGTGTAGATTGTAATTTGTGTGATGTCTACTTTTGTTATCTTTAATATTTTGAGGACATCTCTTATTTCATATTATGATGTGTATTCATAAAGGTCTATAACGTATGTCTTCTCAAAATGTATATAGTTCTATTTTATTTTGCTAGGTATTCTTCATCCTGTGTATTTGTATGCACCAAATATACCAAAGTTTAAATAAAGATCACAGGAAGATGATCCAAGTGAGTATAGCAGTTTAATGTCATTGCTACAACACATTATTTAAATACCAGCTTTTCATAAATAAATGGTGTTAACTTGTACCATGTATTGTTTTAGTTATATTAAAAAGGCAACTATGTTGATGTATATCGGGACACTTTGAAAGAGGAAAGCAGCAGTAGATGAAGTGGGTGGCTCTTAAAAGAGCCGTTGGTTTGTAGCAGCAGCGGCAACAGGTTACTTGGAGCTCGTGTACTTGGTCACGGCCTTGGTGCCCTCAGACACGGCGTGCTTGGCCAGCTCTCCGGGCAGCAGCAGGCGGACGGCGGTCTGGATCTCCCTGGAGGTGATGGTGGAGCGCTTGTTGTAGTGAGCCAGACGGGAGGCCTCCCCGGCGATGCGCTCAAAGATGTCGCTCACGAAGCAGTTCATGATGCCCATGGCCTTGGAGGAGATGCCGGTGTCGGGGTGCACCTGCTTCATCACTTTGTACACGTAGATGGCGTAGCTCTCCTTCCTGGACTTCCTCCTCTTCTTGCCGGTCTTGCTGGGGGTCTTGGTGACCGCCTTCTTGGAGCCCTTCTTGGGCGCTTTCACGCTGGCTGCTTCAGGCATGATCAAAGGTTGTGGGTTCTCAAAGTAGAACGTATTCACCGAGAGACAGCGTGGTGTATTTATATTCATTCGATGCAAATGAGACTGTGCTGTTGCTCGCACGGGATTGGTTGGGTACTGAGCATGCGCAAAACAAATCACCCTTTGAGCATAGTTTTTGAGAACAGAAGAGAAACATGTTTTTGTATTGAAATCTAAATAATGAAATAAACCAAAAAAGACTTGATACATTAAAGTATATTGTTTGTTCAGATTAAGATAAAATATAAAATGGTTGAAGAACTTGGTCTTTTAAAAACTGAAAATGATAACCTAAATCAAGAAATATGATATCATTCATAAACAATCAGATACTATATTACCCAACGCAATCTAGTACAAGCCATTCAAACTGGTCAACAAAGAAAGCATTTCATAGTATTTATAGAGATTACATGAAGGCTTCCCTGATGCCTTTATAACAAACCTGTACATGTCTGAATTGAATTGAGTGTGTGCATTAATGCAAATGTTTTTAAGTAAAGGGCTTTTTGAAGCCTTTTAATGATTCCCGAGATTTTAAGAAAGGTCGTCTGGATGATTTGTAACTACACATTTTAAATGTTTAAAAAATCTATACCTCTTTGTTACTATCCAGTATATCACACAATACCTGTGTTAGAAGGTTACTTTTGAACACTTTTCAGGTATTTGTTCTTTATTTTAATTCTATAATCTGACCAATGAGCGTACAGCTGCGCTCCTATATATTCTGGTGAGAACTGTGACCGAGTTACTTTCTTCTTAACGTCGAAGAATAAACACATAGAAAATGTCTGGTCGAGGAAAAGTTGCAGGTTAACGTCGAAGCTGGTGAGAACGACTCGAAAATGATTGGAAGAGGAAAGGAAGGAGGTGAAAAAGGGTGAAAAAAACTAAAAAACTAAAAATATATAAGAAATGTCTCTTCCTGGAAGCGTGCCATCTTTTGCTTCCAAATTTGGACAGTTTTGGGTTCGCCTGAACTTCACAGGCTCAGGAGAACCCCCAAGTCGTGAATATGTTGGAGAATCACTATTATTTGATACCTGCTGGATCAATACAAATGATGTGTATTCCTTCATTGCACTGCCAAACAGAAAGGAGTTTGAACTTTGCTTTTTGCTAGAAGCTCCTCTGAGATGTTTCCTTGATGTCCTCGCAACTAAAACCTCAGATCCCAAGTGGAAAGACTGGACTTTCGAATCTTCCATTCAAATGGATATCTCAAACATCATTGTTCAATTCTGGACTGGCCGTATTCCAGACCATGATGTTGAGACCTATTTGAAGAGATATGGAGATATAATCAGCAAATACAAACCAATAGATACATTTGGGATATGGTATGGAGTGAGAAAATACAAAATGAAGATGAACAGAAACAGGGATGGTGAGATCCATAAACTCCCGAATTCGATATCTCTCGGCCCCTATAATGAGAGAATAATTTATCCAGGGCAATCCGTCACCTGTTTCATCTGCAACGCAGCTGACCATCAGGTCAGAAAATGCACCACAGTGAAATGTTGGAGATGCAATGAACTGGGCCACAAGGCTAAAGATTGCAATTCAGACAGTCTCTGCAACTTGTGTGGAGAGATCGGGCACACCTTCTTCAACTGCCCATCTTCTTATGTAAACAAGGCAAAAACCCAGCAGCAGCCTGGTCCTCCTCCAGTCACC